GTGTGTATCGGATGCAGCTCTTACTTTTTTCGAGAATTGTAATGAAATGCAGCAGTTTTAAAAGAAGCAAAGGAAACTACAAAAAATTACACATTCTCATCCATGGTGTGCATGTTTGCCTTGTCCACAGTAATTCAGTGTGCCATTCAGTCATTCTACCCACTCACCAATGATACTGTAGCGAAAGAAAATTGGGATTCCTTGGATTCAATTGTACAATACAGTATATCCACAGGATTATCTTGATGGCAGTGCAATTGAATATGTCCATATATTTCATTGTGCTGCGATGCCACCGTCTTATTTGGTTGATCGAAGAATTCTATGTACCAAAAATCATTTTGTTACCTTGTGCAAACCAGTTAAAGCACTTCAGCCACGAGACCATTATTTTAAAGCACACCTTCCAACCTTATTGAAGTCTGCGATGCCAGTTCATCCTAAAGTTCCTCCTAAAGTTTCTACTAAAGTTTTCTGCTCCTCCTTCTACACAAGTGACTACATTTACTAAAAAGCAGACGACTGGTCCAAAAAGAAAACAAATTAGCTTAGATCGATGCGCTTCTTGTGAAACGAGCGTGCAACACACAAGAAACTGTAGACAGTGAAATCAAATTTCCCAGCACTAATAAAGGAATTTCATCTGTAACTCCCAACACTGGTCCTACTTCAGAAAAATATAACACCAAAACACAACGAACTTCCACCAATTCGTGGCCAGATGATATCTACAACTACATAAATCTGGTGTCCAGTCTTCCTGATTCAAAAAAGTACGAAATTCTGTGCAATCATTGCCATTGGAAACCTGGTTCTGATTTTTCTTTTCCTCCACACGAAAATATTGGTAGACGTTTCCGGTTGGCATGGTTATCACGATTTCCATGGTTGGCTTACTCTGCTGTGGCAAACGGTGGTTTTTGCGTCACTTGTGTTCTTTTTGGCAGTGAAAGCACGCATAATGCAAGCGAGCTTTAACGATTGATGACCAGTGCTCTTCCTCCAAGTGCTTCTGCTGTCCAGAAACTCTGTCAGCATGGTGAAAAATCCAATGTTCACGCAACGGCAACTCTCCGTGCTACACAGTTTAAGCGAATGATCGAGAATAAGACCGACTTGGTATCGATGTGCAGCTGAAAAAACCCACCCCGTAAAAGACCTACGTTGCAACTGAAACGCCAAGATGATTGAGTTCGATGTACAGCCCTAATTGGATATTTTTGCTACGAAGAACCTGAAATACACAGGAACAGTACGTGCGGTACAGAATTGTGGTTTTATGTAAGTACAGTGATTTTGTAACATTCTAATGTTGTAACGTTCGCTGAAGAACATGGTATGTTGTTTAAATATTTGACTTATTTAGTGCGTTTCGTTATTTGCTGTCTAAAATATGGCGTAATTAATGACGAATTATATGATAGAATTCGATGCTCAGAACTCAGGAAATGGCATTTCCGGGGTTCAAATTTCAAAAATTTTCCGGGGGGGAATGCCCCCGGACCCCCCTAATTATGCGCGGTTTTGGAGTGCGCCACGGTCAGGGTTTAGGCTGGATCCGCGCCTGAGTAGAGCCCTTAAATGCAGTATTGACCATTCAAAATGACCAGTAAGATACTTTGGCTATCTATATTAGGGGCTGTTTATATGGAAACCGGAGAGGAATGAATTTCTCTTGTCGTCTTCCCGCTTGTCAACAATTTTGTTATTTTGACATGAGCTCCACCTTTGAATTTATTATATGAGTAAATTCTTTAACACGTCCGAATTTATCAATATGATAAATTCGCGGCACATTTTGAATTTATCAATATAGTTAATCATAAAAACAGAAGCATTAGACAAGATTTTTTGTTATCAATGTAATGTCAGTAAAAAGGGGGGGAGGGGGCTGGTCGCGCCGGGGTTGAGGAGATTTTCAAGATTTTCAAAAAAAAGTTTAAAAAAGTTTTTAAAAAGTTTTACAAAAGTTTAAAAAAGTTTTTAAAAAGTTTTAAGAAAGTTTAAAAGAAAAAAAAGTTAAAAAAGTTAGATTTTCAAAAAATTAGATTAAGGTTAGCGGTTAGGGGTTAGCGGTTAGGATTGAAGTTGGGATTAGGGTTAGTGTTAGGGGTTAGGTGCCGCGAATTTATCATTATGATAAATTCAAAATGTGCCGCGAATTTATCATAATGATAAATTCGGACGTGTTTAAGAATTTACTCTATAATAAGTTCTCCGGCTCATGCTGTGTTTTGACAGCTGTTAAAAATAGCCTGCGGCAGCCAGCCCCCTGCGAGTGTTTATATGAAGCGGTCCTCGCAAGGCAAACATTAAAGCGTTCCTCTTGTTTATCGCCTCTTTCAAGCGAGACCGGGCCAGTCCGTTTGTCCATAGAAACGCGCTGTAATTTTCACTGTAGAAATAACAAACACAGCGAGATCTTGCCTATCGGGTTGTTTCGCAAATGGGGCCAGCCTGGTTTCTATATATCTCAAGAACGAAGCAAGCAAAGATAGTTTCGAACACAGAATTTATTACGCCGCTCAGTTATGTCTTCATATGTTTGTGTAAAGCATTAAATATCATGTTTGAAGGAAAGACATACTATACCAAGCGGTGACATGACAGTTTGGCCCTGGCAGCACTTGGCGACCTTTATCATTTCGCAGGTCCATCTTGACCTCAAATGAAAAGCATCAGAACGCCTGGCTTGCCTTGGGCACACAATTTTGTAGCCAAAAAGTAATGTATTGTATACGCGTACCAATTGTTAATCGTGTTGGCCAAACAGTGCGCGCATATCGGTATGCTTGCTTGAATATTCTGTATTTTGTGACTAAGTCAATTTGTGCCTTCAACGCTGTGTTGCCGCGCAATATAGTCAAATTTAGCGCGAGTTCTCTGTTTGTAATACAGACTAGTCAGTGACATCAATGAAATTTTAATTTGAAATTTTAATTCAAATTTTAATTTAATGACTTAAAAGTCATTAATATTTAAATGAAATTGTATTACATGGATACCATTACAAACTAGAAATTGTTTACACTCTAAAACTGCCCCCGGTTGATTATGCATGGTGTACTATCTAGCTGTTATTAAAAATGATCATGCCTTACGGCTTACAAATATTAATACGACAAAATGTTATTACTACTTTCTGGCTTTCTTTTAAAACGCTTAGAAGATTGATAAAATTGGACGAACTTTAAAAATGAAACATTAACCACGTGTAACTTGGTCCTTGTGCGTCCATCCGGCTGAAGGAATGGCGCTTTTCAGTATGATGGAACAATATGAGTCCCTTGTTACAAACGTTTTATAATGTGACTATTGTGTGTCAAGCTTTGCTCGATTTTTTATATTTGTATTTGTTTTTGACTGACTGATGTGTGAATCGAGTCTTTTGGTTCCTGTTTCGATCAATGTGACAAATCGTATAGTTGATACTTAATAGACACGGAGTTTTTAATCTTGTGTACATGTTACTGTTTAACCTTTAAAGCTTTTCATTATTTAACGGATTGACTCCGTCACCAACAACAGATGATAGTAACAACGTACGGTGTCGACCCAAGCGAATAATTATTCTTACAGAAAGCAACCTTTGAACCCTCACCTTTTAAACTTGCGCCTGCAGCTACGGCGCTACGCCAATAATTAATTCACTTGCCTTTTATTATAAATTTGAACCCTCAGCTTTTAAACTTGTGTCACTTGTGGCCTTTTACTGTAATATATGAACTCAGTTGCTTCTAATCTTGATAGCTTTAACAATTTATGCTTGGCGGGGACTTCAATACCCCCATTGTTTTTGCGATATTACCCACCAATGCTTTGCGGGCAAAAAGCTTTAAAACTTAAATTTCTCTGCCTCTGGTATATACCGTTGATATCATATTACATGCCGGACTTCAATATATGTCTCCTCCTGCGGGGGCAATAAACAGCATGGCTCGAAAAATAATTCATTTGAACAAATTTCATCAATTTATCAATTCGGACGTGACAACCATCACCTAATTCACCTTCACCTCTAATCTTTTCATACATATTTAAATGCGCTTTACATCAAGTATTATACGCTTACTTAATTACAATAGGCAATGGACGACTTGCGCTTTAGAAAAATTTTTAATCTGGGAATAACAAAGGATATTTTCGGAAAGAAGTTATCAAAATTAGAAAAACTGCAAAGTTTGGTTGCGAAATGTTGTAAAATACGGAAAATATAGCCCTGCGAAGTTGGCAAATTTGTATACATTTCTATTACGTGCGGAAATTGGTAACTAATTTAGTTACCAATTCACGCACGTAATATACAAAAGTATACAAATTTGCCAACTTTGAAAGGCTATATTTTCCGTATTTTACAACATTTCGCAACCAAACTTTGTAATATTACTAATTCCAAGACGCTCTTTCTAGCTATGGTGATAGATTTCGTTGTTCTTACTTAGATTAAAACTTAGTCTAAAGCGCAATTCGTCCATTCCAGCTTTTAGTTTATGAGTGCAGGGGACGATGGGAAGTAAGGTATTACATTACTGATTATGCTGAAAAATTAGAAATGGTGGCCGTAGATACACGGAGTGATAGCTTATACTTGTAAATATTGAAATATTTCGGTTGTTTCGGTAGTTTTTATTGAAATTTTTCAGCATAATCAGCACTATGATACCTTACTTCCCATCATCCCCTGCAGGCATAAACTAAAAGCTGGAATTGCCTATTGTCTTTACAACAATTGTGATGTTATTCTGGCCAACCTGTGAACTTTTTCTGTCGAAGGAGACCAAAGCAACAGGAGAAAACTCACGACTTTTGACAGAGTGTTGTCTGACTCTTTTCACATGAGTCCGTATAGTGAAAATCGAACCCACAATCTCAGAGGTGAAAGCATAAGGTGCTTGATCTAACGACTGCGCCACCGAAGCTCCATACCCAACCAAAGCCCCGAATACATACCAGAAACTATTAAATAACACGTTTAAAACTAAAATAGAATATAGTAGAGACCTTGACTTCGTTATTCGCATGGCGATGCCTTGATATAATTTAAATGCAAATGCGATCAAAGGGGAAAACAAGAACGCATTCTTTATTTTATGCTGTTTACTTATTTATTTATTTATTTGTTTGCTATATTTTCAAGGAAATTATTCATTACATTGGAATCTTTTATATGTTTTAATTTTGATAATAACAAGCAATCAAAATACTACAAAATCTCTTTCCAGATGGTTCCTATATCTCAAAAAAATACACGAAATGGGAATATATCTATAATTGTGTGCGGTAACATGAAGAGGGATCACAGGGGGCCCCACTATGAGTTATGATTGAAATAATATTGTATTTATTTTTAAAAACCTACTTGAATCCCTTGATAATCGATTATTTCTTCTCTCGAAATTCTGTAAACATTTTAAACTGCTTGAATCATTATACTATCACTCTACATGAAGTATAGATGATCGCTGACAAGTAAGGACCGCGGGCGCGAAAAGACGTAGGCGGCGAAAGAAGGAAGAATTGAACTAAAGGGTTGAAACTTCGGCGGGTCATCGTTTGATGTGTTCCATAAGTAGGTTGTTCTCCGGAAATTTCGCACGGGGCCCCAATGTGAGTTAGGATTGAAAAAATATTGTATTTATTTTTAAAAACTTACTTGAATCCCTTGATCATCCATTATTTCTTCTCTCGAAGTTCTGTAAACCTTTTAAATGGCTCGGACTCATTATACTTGACGTCACGAGAACAACCTACTTATGGAACACATCGTGCGAAAAAACGCTTCGAGTGTTTCATGTAAAAACATACGAAAAATCAATCGTTTATCGAATCTACTACATCAGTTGTGAAGATATATCCAAAAAGACATAGAATCTGCAAAAAAAATATTCGAAAACATCGATAAATTGTGAATTTTAAGGCATTTAGAAATGTCATCTAGTCGAAGTTTCAACCCTTTAGTTTAATTCTTCCTTCTTTTGCCGCCTTCGTATTTTCGCGCCCGCGTTCTTACTTGTCAGCGATCATCTATACTTCATGTAGAGTGATAGTATAATGGATTCAAGCAGTTTAAAATGTTTACAGAATTTCGAGAGAAATAATCGATTATCAAGGGATTCAAGTAGGTTTTTAAAAATAAATACAATATTATTTCAATCATAACTCATAGTGGGGCCCCCTGTGGAGGGATATAATATTAAAAAGCAACTGGCCGAATTTTCATTGATGTTGATTT